TACTTGCCCAGTTGCCCTTTTAGCTTTCTCTATGTCTATCTGAGAACTGTGGTGATTAAATTTTAAGACTTTCAAATAAACATATCACATTGATGCCTTGCACGTTTCTGCAGTTTTGAAACATAATGTTTGTATCTCTAGTACCTATTGCAGTAGTTGCTGTTTGAACCATTTGTTATGTGTAATCGAGTAATCACCAAGTTCATTTCCTGGTTTAATTACAGCATTCAAAAGGATCCTCGGGATAGATTGACATCCATGGAGCTTCTGGTTAGGAACCTAATGCTTTTATTTTTTTATTTTTATGTCTTATATTTTGTTAAAATTCCTCATTGGTGATTCTTCTAATCTCATTGGATTTGCAGGGTCATCCTTTTATTAAGAAGTTTGAAGATACAGATCTTGATCTTGGGATTTTGGTAGGCAGCTTGGAACCTCCTGTAAATTTTCCCAGATAATTTCTTATGTTTGTAGTATGTAAAACTCCTACTTTCCAGTCATAACTCTTGGTGAAAGATCAGGGAAAGTGAAGCTATATTCGAAATACATGTCCTAAGCTTGTTGACTAATTACAGTTTCCTGAAACTGATTTGTATAATAGTTGTTCCTTGTTTGTATTCAAGGGCTTGACCATTTTGTTTGGTATTCTCTTTATGCATTCTTTTTTTTTTTTTGCTTTTGCTTAGTTTTTCCTTTTTTAAATCTATTTGGTTCAGATTTTCGCATTTACTTATAAAAATAAACTATATATAAATAAAGAAATTAGCGTTTTTCATGTCGTAGGAGATAATTTTATCTCTTATATACACATAAAAATATGTGGGATCCATGTTTACATTTTTTATCTTTTCTCTTCACATGACCTTAGATGAGCTCACATACTTTCATATGTATAAGAGATAAAATTATCTCTTATAATATGAAAAACATTTATCTCATAAATAAAATAATTTGGATGCTTATACTTACATATTTTAGATTTCATTTTTATTTCAACTTTAAAGGTTATATTTTGGGGTTTTTGACCCTTTTGCCCCTAATTAAATAATTAATAACCAATTTGCCCCTCCCCCAGAACTATCCACCATCCTGCCCCCATTTAGTCGATTATGTTGCACTTTTAATCGACTAAATGGGCTAAACTCAGAAATTATGAAACGCGAATTTTAGTCGACTAAAAACTCATCTTAATCGACTAAATTGTTTGCACTTTTAGTCGACTAAGCACATTATTTAGTCGACTAAAGATCGCGAAAAATCCTATATCCAGACCTCTCGGGCTCATTTTCAAAATATTCGAAATCAAAACTTCTCTCTTGGTCTCTTTCTCTTGTTTGTCAGCTGGGAACCTTCCAATCACCCTTCCATTTCATCCCACCACCTCTAAGACATAGTAATTGTGAAATCATTGTCATTTTCCTTTATTTCTCAATTGTTTCCCCCAAAATTGTTAGTCGACTAAAAGTGCAAACAATTTAGTCGATTAAGATGAGATTTTAGTCGACTAAAAATTCGCGTTTCATAATTTCTGAGTTTAGCTCATTTAGTCGATTAAAAGTGCAACATAATCGACTAAATGGGGGCAGGATGGTGGATAGTTCTGGAGGAGGGGCAAATTGGTTATTAATTATTTAATTAGGGGCAAAAGGGTAAAAAACCCTTATATTTTGTTTATATCTTTTTTATTTAATGCTCTTATTGAATTTTTTTGAAAAATTTGTTATTAATTAGGACGAGTCAAATGATTCTTTCCTTTAAAACCAAAGGGAATCAAAATGGGAACACCCTTTGGAATTGTGAGATTCTCGGAAAAGTGACAGTGAAATAATGTTAATTTTATTTATTAACGTTTGGTATAAGATTTTTGAAAATTTTATAGGTAATTTGATTTTCTCAAAATTTTATTTTGTATACAATTTTTATTCCAGATTATCATTCAAAAATACCATCAAAAGAGTGGCATTCTTGGAATCCCATATGTTCAAAAAAAATTACATTTTTTTGAGATAAAATTCTAATAAAATTTTGATCTATCAAACGATTATTTGATAATATTTTTGAAAAGTAATTTTTTCATCATATTTCTAAAAATTATGATTTCTCGTCACAAAATTTTTTTATCATCTCTCAAACTCCCATGTTATTATTCTCGAGGACAATTTGAATTGAGAAGTTTTGTGTCTGCTCTGCTTGTGCACTTTTTGGGAGGGAAGAGAACAAGAATGGATGCTGTCAACGGTGACAAGCAATGGGGGGACCAGAAATTCCATTGAATGAGTGAAGCAATGGATTAGAATAGGGTCATAATCCAACAAGTCGTGGGCGCAGATAAGATTTTGCAAAACCATTATTTATTTTGATGTTTATTTTTTGGATTATGCAGTTAGTGTATATAAGTTATCTGCAGTAATATACGGCGTTATTTTGTGACAGAAATTATGATATTTTTATAATTTTAATTTATTTCAAGATAACAATAGTCTTTATATTTATAATTTTTTAAGATTTCAATACCAAGACGATATTATTTTAGAAATAAATACATATAATTTATCTGCAGTAATTGCAAAAACATTTTTCTCTTATTTTTTTTAGGAAAATATTACTCTCAATTTATATGAGATAGTTATCTCATGTTCTCCCACTTCAAAAATTAAACTTTTTTTTTTCTTTTTCTTTTTTACTTTTTAATAATAGGCTCTACTTAAATTTGTTTAGCATGAGAAAATTACAACATGAGAGTAATATTTTTATTTTTTTTAATTAAACATGATACTATATATGAGGCTTCCTTGCCTCTGCCATCCAAAAAATATGATATAATAAAGCATGTGGTGGCAGTGTGATTTGCCCATATCCAAACACCACCACCCTATCATGAATCATGATTAATGACTTGTAGTTGTAGCCAAGTCAACCTTCTTATCTTCATTTCCTCACATCACATCTCATATCCTTCTCGTACCAATCCACCTCATTTTAAATCACTACAGATCTCGTCTTGTCATTTATAAAGGGGATACATTTATCATGTTATATAAAATAATTTTATTTCATATATATTAAAAAAATAGATAGACTTTACTTTTTTATTTTTTACTTATTTTTTTCAGTGAGTTCCATTTATTTTGTTATATATATATATAAAAGATAAGATTATCTCGTATAACTTAAAAATTATATTACCCTTAATAAAATGAGGATAGGATATTGTGACACTCAAATTATATTACACCCATGTGACACCCAGTCAATCTCACCGTTAGATCGCTTATGTTGATCCAACGGTTATATTTATTTCCATCTTTGTATGGTCATGATTTCCTAAATTTAAAGTGAAAGCATTAAATATGGAAAATCATAACCATACAAAGGTAGAAATAAATATAAAATATTAAATTTGAGAAATTATGACCATACAAAGATGGAAATAAATATAACCGTTGGATCAACATACGCGATCTAACGGTGAGATTGACTGGGTGTCACATGAGTGTAACATAACTTGGGTGTCACATATCCTATCCCAATAAAATGATACTTTTATGATTATGCAGAGAGAGAGAGACTAAATAATAATCATATTATCTTTTGTGTGGAAAATTGAGACAAAACTCCTTAATATTAGTCATTAGATATAGAGAGGATTCTGACTAATCATAAACACTTTGAAGAAAAACTCCTTAATAATAAAAACTCATCCTTAATATTAGAGATGAAGAAAAAAAGACTTTGAAGAACTCGTCAATTCAACGGAGAGTTTTATGACCAAAAAAAGAAAGAATGTGATGTTTATTGTGTACCATTTTGCACCGAACAAAGGTCGAAGCATTTTCATTAGCAAATGTAGTTTAGAAAATGAACGAGATTTGTACGCTATTTATAATTTTGAAATAAAGAAAAATGCAATGATTGTTAGAATACTTTTACTGTATCATACAAAAAGTGTTCAACTTACAATAGGAAACATTCTATAAATAACACTTTATCTATTCTTTTGCTTTTATGTTTGGATTAAAGAAAAATGTTTCTACTTTTGTTTGTAGATAAATAAAAAATTATTATATTCACGTAAAAATAAATGAATTTTTTTTTTTTTGTAGTTATCCAACCCTAATTATCTCTTTGAGACGAGTTGACTCCCTCCGGTCTTCGACTCTTTGAGCCGGCTATGAGACTAATCCGGAGTGCGGGGGAACAGTGATAGCTAAAGGTTCAGCCCCCTCCCCAAGAATGCATTTAGCGGGAATCGAACACATATCCAACCCCACTAACTCAGCGCCAAGTTACCAACTGAGCTGCACCCATTGGGTAAAAATAAATGAATCTTATTATAAAGCAAAAAGAAAAAAAATTAGTGAAATTTATTTATTTTTATATGAATGTGAAAGAGAAATTTTTTATATAACAAAAACAAAAATATTAAATCCTAAATTTATGGGTAATACTTCTCTTATGTTGCATAAGAGAAGTATTATTTCATGCTCAAACAAAAATTAGGAGAGAGAAAAAAAATCTATGAGATCCATTTAAAAAATGTGAGTGTAGGAGATAAAAAAAATTTTATGTAACATAAGAAAAAGTAATTCCCTAAATTTATAATTTATAGGGATGTAATGATTTATTAAAAGATGGGAATATACTCTCTGTCATTGCTTTATGAAGCAAAGTTGGACAAATGTGGACCTTTAGTTTTCACCCACCAAAATAAAAAGGGAAGTTAAGACGGTGACTCAAGAGATGGGTATGTTTAAATCTAAACCTTATCCTCTATCCAAGTTGTCTGATAGAAGTAATGAAATTTTCGCCATAAATAGAATATAATATTTCACATGACATATAAGCAAACAATATAAAAACAATAAAATTGGTCAATGTTATCTAACTTTTTTGTAAATCTTATATATAAGACCCAATATTATTATTATTTTCAGTACATCATAGCTTCTCCATACACTTTCATATCATATGCAACCAAGTTTGTGGGAATTGAAGGCTTGTTACATTTGATAGAGCAGAGAAAGCAAGATCTTTTTGTGTCATTGGCAAGAAGGCACAGCAAATCTTTGTAGAAATGAATGTGAAGGGTATAATGAAGGGTGATGTTGGAGCTGGAAACATCAACTGGGTGGTTAAGGAAGATGGTGAAGATAACAGTGATTCAACTTCCATTGGATCCATCTCAGAAGATTCAATGGATTCTATGTGTTCATCTACATCAGAGTTGACAGAGGATGCATCCTCTTCAACATCTTCTTCATCATCATCACATTCAAATGGACCTTTATATGAACTATCAGAGCTCATGAACCATCTCCCTATAAAGTAAGCAGTTTCTTCCTGAGTTTTATTCAATTTTCTTTTAGTTATTAAAGAACTAATTCAATCCAAAAGCTTAAGTTGTTATGTCAGAGTCTCTTTAATGATTTATATATTCTCTAACATGTCTCTTAACACGAGAGCTGATTGAGTTTGAAAGGTAGATGATACATTAGGCTCAGCCTACTTGTATTGAACCAATTCGAATCAAAAGCTTAAGCTTTGGATGAGAACCCTTTTTAATAAGACGTTATATATACAGACACGCAATATCATCAATGTTGTTCATTTGGAAATGTTATGAATTGGTTAGAGTTGTTGTGTTGAGTAGTTTATATATGACATGTGCAGGAGAGGGTTGTCTATGTTTTATCAAGGGAAGGCTCAGTCTTTCACTTCATTAGCTGGGGTGCAAAACTTAGAAGATCTTATTAAGAAAGGCACTCCTTACAGAAAGAGAATGAAGTCATGCAAAAGTTATGGGGGAGGCTTGGATAGCCATAGAATATCCTACACTCCAAAGGCTACAATATCAAAGAAAACATCAAGAGGGTATTTTGCATCTGCACTATGCAAAAGGGGGAGTTTCATTGGAGGATCTAGGCCTAATTCCATTGTTGTACACAAAAACTTCTGAATTTTTACCCAGTTAGAGCTTCCTTATTTCATGTACAAAAATCCGGAAAATTTTGAATCCTGTACCTTCAGCTTATTCTGAGTCAATGCCATATTATTAACTAGCTAACGTTAATATATTCATTATTACTTTTGTCTTCCATGATGTACAGTTATTATTACCACTATGACTCAATGATTAGTGCTAATTAGGCACATGCCTGGAACTATATATTAGGTAATCATAATAATTGGGAAATGGGGGTAGAAAGGAAATTTACCAAACATTAATTTGAAAATTTGGTTAAGTATCAGATCTGGCCTGGATATGTAAGAGGAATTGAACATGTGTTTCGGATCCTTAATATGTTCAAGTTTAATCAATTAAATAAACTGAACCCAGTGTTTGAATGAAGGGAAAATGGAAAAATAAACGTAGGCTTGATAATGACGATATATAAATTTTATTATTTCAGAATGCCTTGTTATTTTTCACTAACACATCCTCACTTCAATGCCTAATGCAGTTTGTCTTCTATTTCAGCTTTCCTTTCTAACGCTGACTGTTCCATATTTAGAAAAGATATTTACTTTAGTTTGAAATGAATCGTTAAATCCGATATAAATAAATAGTATCTAAGTTTATTATATAAACATAAACTAACCAAAATTATGTAATTACATTAATTAAGATAAGGGTTTAAAGTTTCGGATATGTAGCTCTCATGTCACTGCAGATGGAAAAAAGTGCAGCAACACTTATTTTTCTCAAGATACGCGTGCGGATCTTGATTTTTTTTTTTTTAGGCCAGGATACGACCACGTATCCTAGTGTTAAAAATTTGCTGCAACTTTTCTCATCAGCAGTGGAAGAAGAACTGACGAACCCTTAAAGTTTTTTGAGTTACTTTAAATAATTTTATTTAATGTTTATCAAAATACACAAAAAAAAAGTATATAAGATCCATATAATTTAAATTGTTATATCGCCCGAGGATGAACACATGCCCCCTTTTTTCTATCAACAATCTGCACAACATATAACAATCTAAATGTAAGTTTGCTCTCCTCCACGAGAGATAAAAGCAACGCGTCAAGAGCAATCGTACGTAGGATATGATATAGGATGTTTTCCTCAGACAAGGAAATAAATAATAAAGAAAAGGAAGAAAGGAAGAAACAAAACAAACGTAGAAAGAAACACCATAGTTCAAAACCTCAACATAATTCCGAACAACTTTTAGCAGCAAAAATAGTTCCTTAATTTTGAAGATTGAGGGTGCAAAGTGACTCTGTACAGTTACATTTTTCTTTAGCAGAATAGAATACATAACGTCCAATTTCTTGTTATTCAAGGGACCTTATCAATAAAATTTCTATCAATCATTCACTAATTCCCTGCTTTCACTTCAAATACAATAAACAAAACGAAAGAGGGGAAGAGATACTTTGCCAGAAACAATTTTCTTTGTGGAAGTTTCCTACACTTGTGTACCCAAAAAATAAAATTACATTTGAACTCCTTCAGAAGGATCATAACCTGTAAACAGGTTCAATTCCAAGGAGATAAAAGCACTTTCTCATCACAGTTGCCGTTGCTTCACATAACAAGAGTCTACTAGTTTCCTCAGGTGACCCAACAACCTGCCAAGGGCAAGAACTTGAATCAGATGGCTTGAATCTAAACATTATTCTTTCACCGCAACTTACCTAGGACTCTAGATTGTATATGACACCGCACCTCAATTAATATTTGAGAAAATTCTATGGATAGAGATTTCAGCTGATAACCCACCAGCAAGTACTTTACAGAATAGTAACTAAAATGATATTTAGTACGGCACCTTTAACACTCTTATGGCAAACCATTCCCCATTAAAACCTCACTAGCGAGGGTGAGGTGATGACAATCCTTGCATGCAGTCTTACCCTTGCATATTTGCAAAGAATCTATTTCCTGGATTCAAATCCGCAATCTTTCAATCACGGAACAGTAGTTTTACTACTGCTCCAAGCTTGCCCTCTTTAACACTGTTATGGTATATTCAACAAATCTTCTACTTGGCATCTTTATGCATACCTCATCACTAGGAAATAGGAATACGAAGGGCATAGAAACTTAAATGTATAGCATAGCATAAGGGGATGACTTTAGAAGTATACCTGACAACTTGAATAAAATTTTGTAAATATTTCTGCCAAATTATAGAGGTATTCACACAACACGTTGGGAAATAAATTGGTGCACGCCTCCTCAAAAACCTGAAAAATGAAACAGTACACAAAGCCCACATACAAGGGTAAGTATCTTATGGATTGTAAAATAATATGCAGAAATGTCCAGCCGCTTTAGTCATAAAGTCTTTTATTCAAAGGAAATGGAGCCCCAGTAACAAATTTATAAATATTACTAGTATGCAAAGGTCTAAAGCTCAAGAACATGTACTATTCACAGGTCCTACCTCAGGAAATTGTAGCAAATGAAGCCCCAATACACGCTCATCTTCACGATCCAACACTATATTCCCATACTGTCACATAAGTTTAACATAAAAAGGCATTATGAAATGTGCACAAGTTGATATTTAGCTGACTGACTATATACAAACACATGGAATACTGAGTCATATCACAATTACAATAGATAAGTGCTGACTTAACTCGTATCAAATCAACCACGGTAGAGTATAAACCTAGGCACAACTCTTATACTCGTATCTTATATTGTAAAATTAAGCATATGATACAAAAATAATTAAATTAAATATTTTTTCTAATAAATATTTAACAGACAGGCAAGTCATCATCCCTTGGAAGAAAAATAAACTTACTTTCTTTAATTCTTCTAGATCTTTACCAGATTTCCTGATAATGGAACAGATCCTAGCATGCGCATACAGCAAATAAACAGCAGTATTCCCCTGTTTCACGACAAGCTTAATAAAGTGAGACAAAAACAACTTTATATCAGTTAGTTTAGTCGGTAATGAAGAAAGAGTTCAACAATTGCTAACAGGAGTTTCATAAAAATATCTTCTTAGCTGCTTTGACAGCATTTGTTATTAGGAAGGAGTAAACAGTAATAGTTGTAGTTAAGAAGTATCCAGCTCCTTTAAAGTAAAGGTTGCACTTCGCAAGTGATAACCACTGAAGAGAACATCAAAGGGAATGGACTCTCACAAATCAATGGTGTGTTATCCATGGACTTGAAATTAATCAAAATTTAGAACAGTAATATTTTCCATCCATCCTTATCAACCACACATTAGTCTCAACATTTACCCTAACTTCAGAGGATCGCGGGACAGGACCCATAAATAATGGACATTAAATCTACTAGCTTCTTTACTGTAACTTCACAAGCATACACTCAAAATTTGCAGATAGTGAATGCACCTTATCATTAAGCATCTGATCAAAGTTGAATGTGTAATTCGTTAATCTGTTGATCTTCAGGTCAGCATACCTGTAAACATAAATCAAAGAAACGAACATAAGGGGCTACAAGCCTACAACTAAACCGTAAAAGAAGCAAACTACAAAATAGTATGACAGGACAGAATGTTGATTCGAGTTAAAGAAGCTTACTTAACAGCCCCATAACCAATGGCCTCTGATGTTTTCTCAATCTCCTCCTCAGACCAATCTTTAGCTGTATCTATAAGAACAACTAAGGATTTGCAAGGTTAACTGTCTAGTGTCTAGAATCTCACTAATTGAGATTAGAATAGGCATATGCACTATCAAGTAGAAATTTCAAGTCATGGATGGTTGCCAGCACAAAAGGAAGAATTAATAATCACACTAGGCAACTGGTACTTTACCACGTTCAAGAAGGGCAGTTTTACAGCGCCTTTTAGCTTCATCAAGCAAATCAACCAATCGAACAATCTCACTGCTGCGAGTTCGAAATCGTTTTCCATCCTCTCCAAGAACGAGACCAAAACCAATATGAGTACATTTTGGATATGCATTTTCATCACTTGGCAACCAACCTGCACGCCTAAAGGCCTGAAAGGAAAATTGAAAGGGATGTCTGACATTTTAATTCATTGGAATATTGACAGTAGCAATAGCAGTATGTCATGATCCATGACTTTTGTCTTTTTAGAAATTGAAAAAATAATATAAAATGACTGACTGTTTAATACAACAAAGAAAAGATGTTGGACCCAAACAAATTGTTTAAGGATGTTATCAGCAAAACACAGACAAGTCAATAACCAAGAACAACTCGGCTACTGGCAAAAGCAAGTAGAGGGTTCTTGACAACAATAAAATGCAGTAACGATTAGATACCATGAAAATCATCACTTGATATATACCTTATATAGCATATCAAAGTGTTGCTGCTGCCCAATATCTGTAACATATATGATCCACTCAAGTTTTTCTTCGTTTAGACGATACCTACATAGTTGAAGTAGCAGATATCCAAAACTGTTTATTTTCCTCAGTAGATATATTTCCTGTTCCACACTTCCATGCTCAGACAAAAATGCAAATATAGAAAAAGGTATCCCAAGTTTTACTTCAAAGGCAGAGCATATAGACATCCAAGATAAATAAATTTCACATCATAATTGATAACAAAATTTGGCCACTCAACTGAGCCAGCAACACTAACAGGGTTTTTAAAAGCACGTCCAAAAATCTGAAAGAGAAAAACTAACCAAAGTGATGCTAGATCAGTTGAAAAATAATTGTAGCCACCATCTCTTTTCACAGCAATAAGTGGTATGTTTACACCCTCAACAAATATCACACGAGCACCATCACTATCTTCAACCATTCCTTTTTTGTCCAGTTTCTCCAAAACACCAGGGATATATGGATTATAGAAGCTTTCTCCCTGTGGTCAAATATTGATTCAGTAGACTATGAAAAAGGTCAGAATTACAGATTTAAGTAAATACATTTGTATTTTCTGCAGCATAAACTCAATATATCCAGTCGATTTATTGCTACATTGTATGTATATCATGACATAAAGGATAGTCAGCTAAAAAATAATGTCCTTTCAGCTGCAATATGGATAATTTTCGTTACAAATGCTAAAGCCTGGCAATCAATCAAGCATACAGAGGAGTCGTGTTTCATACAGAATCCTTATTTTAATTTTAGTTCAGAATACAAATTCAACTGAAAACCCCAGTTACCAAACATCTTATGGGTGAAATTAAACCAGTCAAATTTTTGGAATAAAAGAAAAAGAAAAAAAGACACAAGATTTACTAGACAGAATATGGCAGATCTGGTTAAAAGGCAGAATCTAAGCCACATCATGAATAAAATAAAAAGCACAGCAATTGCCAGAGTCTCTAACAAACCCAACAAATATTAAGCAAGCATAGAATTCTTAATGGTCTTATAAAGCATTGAAAAAACCAGCTTAGAATTTCATCCCGGAAGGTACAACAGAATAGACATCACGGTTAAACTCCAAAGTCTGTAAAAAATGAAACTAGAACCCTTACCATTTCTTCCAATCGAATTCCAAGGCGTTGATAGACTTTGTCGAATTCAGCCCTGCTAACATCACAAATTTGTTGCCATGCCTTGCGATAACTAATTTCTCCACTCTGAAATCAAAATAAATAAATACATAAAATTTTAAACAAAGTTCCCCAATATATCGCCCCAGGGGGTGGGGGGAGGGAAAATGTAAAGTTGTAATTTACCTGGAGCCGGATAACTGCCTGTTGTGCCCTCAGCTTAAATTCAGGGTCACTATCAAACCTCAGTTTTGATTCCTTATAGAATCTCTAAAAATGCACCAACATTCATCAGTTTCAGAATCACTAATGGTAGTTCACTTTTCCAGTGAAACACAAATGCTTCATCATCAAAGATGTGTTAAAACTTAAAAGCCATAAGGAAAGCTAAGTGACGATTAATGAGAACATTATCCGTCAAGACCTATAAATAAAAATTGGCAAAGAGCAATATTCATAATCAAACATAACCCAAATAATTATTTCTGACTTCACTCCTCTACTTCTTTCTACTTAGAAAAAGAAAAAAAAGTCTTTATTATGTTAAAAGTTCATCTACAAACAAAGCATAAAAAATCTATTTGCAGCTCTTCAGCAGAGAAAACCAATTGCTTCTTTTTAAGGTCGTTTGAAAAGTCACGAGTTCGAATTCAGGAAACAGCCTCTTTGCATATATACAAGGGTAATGCTACGTACAAGGATTGCCCTCACTCCACCCTTGCTAGTCAGGGTTTAATGAGGAGTGATTTTTTCTCATGTGAAAATGGAAGCTAATATTTCTTAGCCAGGTTTAACAGCATTTATGGCAAATTAACTTCTACATAACTTGAAATTCATAGTTTTTATTTATTTTGATATATTTTCTCACCTGAAGATCTCCAATGGCTGCTTCACTTACATCTTCTAGGTTTGGAAATTTTTCAAAGAGGTATGCAATCAGCATCCCAAACTGCAAAACAAATGCATGGACTTTGAGCCATATGGTACCAATAGCAAAATGAGAACCTTCCTAATGGTATGATTAATAATTCCGGCAAATACGTCATAAGGATATTCCTATAAAAAATCAATGGACATTGCTAATTTAGAGACTTAATGAAATAATTCAATATCTATACCATTTTCCTTAGGGGAAGGGCGAACAGTTTCTTAGGACATCAACCATTTAAGGTTACACAACAAAGAAGAATAACAGAGAACACATTATACCTTCATCCAATTAGGAGGAATGTTATACATGTTCTTGATCATGAAGGCAGTTAGAAAAGAAACTTACATCAGCCATTGTCCCAAACATTATTAGTTCTCAAGCCACCAAGTAATGCTAACGAAATGACTGTTACAAATGAATTACCCAAAGTCATGATGTATACTACTAGCTTTGACACTGTATAGCAAAGATATACTCACAAGAAATGGCATAAAACATTTAGCCTCAGATTTAACATGCACTATTTTCAAACTCAAGGCACAAAAATAGCATAACTTTCGAAGTTAAATCTACCTGTGTTCCCCAGTCACCAACATGATTCCGGCGGATAACAACATCCACGCGTGAAAATTCAAGCATACGAGCCAATGTGTCCCCAATAATGGTAGATCTTAGGTGACCAACATGCATTTCCTTTGCGATATTAGGTGAGGAAAAATCAACCAAAGCCCTCTTGATCGGTAGTCGAGGTGCCCACGTATCAATACCATCAATTAGCATCCTCTGTAAGTTCTGCAGGAGGAAGTTTTTTTGTTTTTGTTTTAAGCACAAACAGAGCTCTTTAATAAGCTCAATAATCCAAAGAAAGTCAAAATTTAAAAAAAGGAATCAGAACTAGAAGATAGAAAATGCACTCACCTGTGCTATCCACTTCTTTGATAAGACAACATTCACAAACCCAGGACCAGCAACAGAGCACGATTCGATCATTTCAGATGGAGGAAGATTGTCAACGATGGCCTAAACAAACAAAAAACATACAGATTATCATTTAACAATAACAAATGAAAACCTAATTCCAAAATCAATAATTAGTAAAAGGATTCAAATGAAAATACATACAGGCGGGGAAAAAAAGAGAGTAATGGTATCATCTCTGATTAAATTATACCTGTCCGATAGATGGGGGACCCCTAAATCCTGTTTCCTTTCCTTTAATCTTAGACCATATACCCATTGCATTATTACTGTACCAAAAAGTAAAAAATAAAAAATAAAAAATCTTTAGTTAACTATAAAAAACGATCCCGGAGTCATTACTTTGCACATATACACAATGTAATTAAAACATTATATGAGACAAGGAGAAAAACTGAACTCACCATTGATAATCAGCAAATTTTCCACCAGATTTCGCAGCGCATGCCTCAACCAAAGGCACCACATCTTGCTCATCAGGCACAGTTACCCTCAGAGATACCTCAAACAGCTGCGCCAATTGCCTCTTGACACTGGACGGATTATCAATTTCCTATATCCAATCACATAAGCAAAAAAAAATCACTATCTCACTGCAAACAATCCACTATTGAAAACGAAAACAAATCAAAATAAAATTGAATTAATAAAATTAATTAATTAATTAAGGAAATGAGAACTGAGTGAACTTACAATTGTCACAGTGGATGTGGATTGTGTCTTAACTGGCACGGTTGTTGTGGATTGTGTCTTGGTTGCTGTTAAAGCAAATCTTCTAGATGCAACCTTCAGTAAATCTGTCTACACAACAACAATTCAAGCAAAACGGCGTCGTGTTAGTGAATCAGGAGTTGAAATAATGCTCATGAGTCATGCATGACATTGAAGCAAGTAGAAGAAGAAGAATAAGAGAGAGAGAGAGAGTGAGAGGAAGGTTTAACTGACCTGAACCAGAAGGTGATAGAGAAGGAGGAGATGAAAAGTGAGAGAATCGATTGATGGAGATAAGGTTACATGGCGAAAACGGCGCCAGTAAGCTTGATATGCTCCCCAAACCCACCATCTTCGTTCTTCTTCTTTTCGTTTTTTTTTTTCATTTTTTTCTTTTAAACCTGTGAAAGACTGAAAGGCCACAACGGATACGAGTCAACCGGTCCGGCCTGATTTGCTTTAGTCGTGAACCGAAAAATAGTATTGATAATCCGGTTCGATCAGACCGATTGATCCATCACAAAACCGATTGACCGACTGAACCCGGTTCAAATTCAAATAATTTTGTTAACTATATGAACTGAGTTATATTAATAGGGGTTTTAGATTCGGATGTGAATGAACTAACCATTCGCAAAAAAAAAAAATTAAATATTATTTTTTTAATAAATAATTACGTAAATGTAATTATTTTGAAATTATTTACATAAGTATAGCAGTCAAACACGTCCCACAGAGACGTGGCCGGTTGGAGAGAGACACTCTTCATTGGAGTGTGACCGAGGAAAGAGACACTGCCTTATGGGGGCGTGTTTCACCAGGTGCTTCCACGTGGCACAAAAATCAACAGTTTGACTGTAAAATTTTGAAAATCCATAACTTTTGACTCGAGTGTTCAAATTAGGTAATTTTTTTGATTCCACGTAACTTTTCGAGATTTACATAATGACACCTTATTTGACATATTTTGTCCCTCACAAAAAAATTTGAATTTACAACAACCATAATAACATTTAAACCCAAATTAATAAACATAAAACCATTGGTATGATTAGAAACATTCATAGTAAAGATTCTTTTGATTATAGTAAAAATACATCAAAATGACATAGTTTTTTAAAAAATGACATAACTTTGTGTCATTTAAACTAATAAAAATTATCTCCACCTTAATAGTTTTATCAAAACATTCATGGTATCTCATCGAAAGAAAAGGAAAAAAAACACTACCATATCGTTTATATTTTAAAACAAAGACAGGAAAAAAAAACTATTATATGTTTAACGTGAGAAGATCTAGATCTAGATTCGGTACAAGTCTTGTCTAGTCAATGCATGAAAATAATTATTATATCTTCGAAAAGTAAATTACTCTAGTAATTAATTTTTAAAATTACACTAAATACTCATTTTGCCCAAATGTAGGCATACCAAAACATTATACACAATTTGAAAATTTTCAATTAGGATGGTAAGAATTTGGCTCATCCCAAAATACTTGCTTCAAACTACATGAATTAGTTTGATTGATTGAGTGAGAACAAAAACACTTTTTATGCTATAAAGAAGAATTATGTTATATAAATTAAGAAATTTATTTATTTATTTTTAATTTTTCAATGGGTTATATGGGCCGGCCCAATAGGCCAAAATTGACACCCAGCCCTTTTCGTACATTCAACATGATCTTACGTGTACCTTACTGCATAGAACCCGCCCCCACCGTTCTTATCCGATTGCAATCTCCCAATAGCAGTTTAACACACATCTATAGAATCAGAAAAACACAATTTAAAATAGTATTAGTGAAATCCCATAATTGCCCTTCTTCCTTTATATAAAAACCCCTGCCAGTGGTTTCATCGTCACTAGCTTACCGGAGAGTGATCAGGAGTACAGTGCAGGAAGGAAGAATGAAGGACGCCGGAAAGAGTCACAAGGCGAACGGAAAGACTTCGCCGGAGAAGAGGAAGGATCGGAAGTCGGCGACGGGGATGAACGGATCGCCGAAGAAAGGAGGCCACGGAGGCAAGTTCACGTGGATCGGCCATGGCGACTCGCAGTTTGAGATCGAGCTGGAGCACGCGACAATGGATGCTAAGGATCCGAATTTCGAAGATCCGGCGGAGATCGCCGCCGTCTGAATTCGGTTGACCGGTCACCGGATCTGTAAATAGTAATTGGCGAGAGACGAGACGCAAGCTGATCCATGCTTTCTAACTTTCAATAAACTGAAAACGAACGAACCGTAGGAGAAACGTTTTTAGATTGCGTTTTCTCTGTTTATGGATCTATTATATTTGTGGTTGTATCTTTGTTGTTGTACATATTTGTAGTAGCATTCACCATTTCATGTCCGTGTATGCTTCTCTTATCAAGAATAATTAATTTTAATTATTCAAGCTTTGGTGTTTCCCTTTCGGTGAAAGCAGTGTTTTAAAACTCGGATCAGTCATCGAACTGGTGAGGTACTCAGTCTGAGTCACTAGTTTAACTGGGTTGAACCGGATTTACTGTTCACATATTAAAAATATAAAAATATTATTTATATTAATAAAAATTTACATAAGAAAAATATCAATGAGCTTCAAAAAATAAATTGATTTTCAATTATAGCAAATATTATATACATCTAAGTTTCTAGCTCTAGACCATATCCTAATATTGGATTAAAATTGTAATATAAATTAAATGCACCTTTTGTGCTTGACATGATACGGATAAATTAAATCATGATAACAAATAGTATGCATGAAATATACACTAAGAAAAAAGTTTCACAGTTATCATGATAGCAAATAGTATGCATGAAATATATACTAAAAAAAGTGTCCACCGTTGAGATGAGATCATAAGTGTTTATCACCACTTAACAAATAGTATGCATGAAATATATACTAAAAAAATAGGTGCAACTAAATTACATAAACGAACTGCACTAATCTAAAATACTTTATTATTTTCACCTTACTTTTAATCATATTCATCATAAATGATGAATATGATTAAATTCAAGAGTTCTTATCAACAAAAAAAAATTATCAAAAAAAAAAAAAGAATAACTGGTCTAGCCCGGGTCAACCGAGTCATCGAGTTTTGGCTGGGTCAACCGGTCCAATCCGGATTGACTGCAGAAGCGGTCCAACTACCCGCTTGGACCGGGCAACCCACCGAGTCACCGAGTCCCGGGTCGACCCGGTCTGTCCGAGCCGGGTTTTAAAACAGTAAAACCATGAATTTTAATATCTTATCTTCTATTATATATTAGTTGTTAATGTAGTTGGCTAGGAATCATGATTTGTCCAGATTGTAAAATGTTTAAAAGTCATGTATTTAATTGAAAAGAACAAAATATTGTTGAATCCATAGAAACTTTTCTAAAAGAAACCCAAGACGTTTACTCGTTAAGGAGAAATACATATTATATTTCAAAGAAGAATTGGTTTATTTTAATTTTGTACAAGTTAGTTTACTACCTTGTAATTGGATAATCGTCATTCTCGAGACAAAAAAACCATGCAATTAAAAAACCTTTCTCTTCCATTTTGGAATAAAAAATAATAATAATTAAAATTATATTTTTGTTTACGATCTTTTATAATTATAATTTTAATCGTTGATTTCTGTTAATCAATGGCTATCATTTATTGTAAATTAATAATTAATTAATAAATTTAATTTACGAAAATTGTAAAAAGTTGTAAATAAAAATAATTTAAAAGGTTTTAAACATTTGCAACTTGTCCATTAGTACCGACACTACTGATGATGTCTAGAAGTACAAGGACACGTGTGCGGTTGTGAATTAAAATTAAAGAGTGTGCCAATAATACAACTTTTAGAAAAGTTATTTGTCTTATTGTATAATTATGTTTGGTGAGGTGTTCTTTACATGCCTATAAAAGGAATCCATTTGTGTGCTTGTATCCTGAGAATGAATTTGAAAGAAATAAAAATTTGTGTGTTTTCTCTATGAGTTTTTAAATAGTTTTTTTTTTTCTCTCTGAAAACTTAATATAATGTTCTTACTATAATTACTAATCTCTGAATTAGAAAGTTAGTATGCTCTACACTTGCCATGCAAAGGGATCCTGTGTATCATCATATATCTAAATGTAAATAACAGAAATATTAACGGTACACTCTTTAACATGTTTTTTTAATATATGTTTTAATATTAAATAAATTTTATATGATTTTTATCAAATAAATTTCTCATGTAAATAATTATTATTTTTAAGAGATTATGAACGCTTAACTTCTCAACTTGAAGACCGTTTAAATGATAACAATGGCTTCCAAAATCAAGTAAGTTATGACCATGTTAACTAACCTGTGTGTCGTACATTTGCCGAAGAAAATGGCATGAAAGTTAATGTTTTTTTTCTCGTAAACAAAGTTAATGGCTTTTAAGTTATATGTTTGTGGGTTTTAAATTAGAAATAAATTAGTGTATTACCCGTGCGATGTACGAAGAAAAAAGATCAAAAATTTTGTCGACCGTTGTAGTTGGTTAATCGCAATGCAAACCTTATATTTACAAAAAATGGTGGTGCTATTTTATTCTATTTTTTAGGTGAAAAAAACTACAGCGTTGACATAAAACTTTGCAAATATCAACCATAAATAAAAATCTGCTATTCAGAGTGATCAATTATTATGCAAATCAAATATAGTTATCTACTCGACGAGTTATGTAAAAAATAAATACGCCATAATAGACTATGTTAACATGAGGATGGCAAAAAGAAAAAGAAAAATACATACAACTTATTGCTAACTATAACAGCCACCAATAAAATCAATGTAACAGTCAGACTAAGCAAATATGGAATTAAAAGATCAGCTTGTACCTAAAATAAGAAAACACTATTAATTCAATGTTATTTCGCAGCAATCATTGGAGGGATGAGTTCAACACGTACCAAACATGTGATTTCTTATGATTATGCATTACCAGAGACATCCTCTTCTACTATCATATTTATGTCTGCGATACAGAATGCAAATACTCATTAAATCGATTATACTAATATGTTAACACCCAAAAGTAATAGTTTCAGCACAAAATAAAAATTGGACTAATTTTTTTGTTAGAACCCAAAAAACGTTGTCTGAAAGAGATTTGAAAGCAACTTAACCAAATGGGCATGTATGAGTCATATTTTTTGCTTACATTAGAACAATTGTGTTTGAACAGCATCAAGTCCACTCACTAATCGTTGAAATACTTCTTTGTAGATGATGTTAAAGGTACTATTTGTAACACAACTATTATCATCAAGTATCAATATATTAAAATTTGTTTGAAATAAATACCCGAGTACTTAACTCCTTCTCCAATTTAATCTTCTTACGAAGATGCACAACCGAACAATTAGATTTGTCTTCAACGGAATCAGTAAAATTCACAAAAGGTAAGGTGTCAACAAAGACAGGGAAATTTCAGCATCATTGGTATTCTCATAGATTTGACTCTCAACATCCTAGTAATAAATTAACTCTATAATAATTT